TGAAGTGTAACTTGAAGATGCTGATTTCTTTTATTGTTTTAAGGTTTTTTGATTACATTTTTTTTCTAAGTTTATCCTACATCTGGATCTATCCTGCTAGACTGTTTGAGTCATCTACTTCCTGAATATGGCAGCAAAGCTATTTGTGTTGATTCTCAATTAAATAAAATGAGCTCCATTAAAAAAAAAGGTACAGTATGTAACTTTTATAAAAACATATTTGTTTAAACTGTCATTATGTCGTGACAGTTTGTTATGAGACGGATACTATGTGAAACGACAGAGCTATTATTGCCGTCTGAAGAAAAAGAAAATATAAAATAAATAAAGAAACTGACAAAAACAATTGTAGGTTGACTAAATTATTCAAACATGTAAAAAATAAACTACAACAAAAAAAGTGCAATTAGGAATTATAAATACAATGTAAAATAAATAATAAAGTATGATGTCGCTCAGAGCGCAAAGCATAGAATGAGACGGAATAGATCCGAGTTTATGGATCAGGCACATTGTCATCAATAACCGATTTTTATTTTTCAATATTTTCTCAAAACTAGATATTAATAGTCCAATCACATTTTTTTCACTATCGTCTTCAGTCAGAGGCTTCTTCAAATTCACTGTAACACAGACTGTTACAAGAGATATTTCCTGCCAACAGCCATCACTATCTACAAAAACTCTTTGAAAATGTTTAATTAATACAAGTTACAACATTTAATTTTCTTTTGGGATCAATAAAGTGTTTTTGAATTTAAAACTCAACTGATTAAAATCTATCATTTCAACCATTTAATTTGAAGTGTGCAGAAAAAGCTTTAAATGGCTTAAAAACCTTTTTTTTAAAAAAAAACATAGTTGAATGCATTTGAAAAACTACTAGATGAAGAGGTAAAGGTCGGACATCTTCCTTATTTAATCATTACTTCCACTTGAGTGCGTCAAAGCTTTTTCCTATCACAACAGCCATTTGAACTCCGTCAACCATTTAATCCAGGTAATCATTTAGCCAACCATTTTATTAATATGTTACCTATACCAATCAACATTAAGCATTTGGTCTTTCTTTAGTACAGCTATGTTTTTATTAATAATCAACTGCTTGGTAAAATACACGTCGCCTCTTGACTGTTGGTGCTTTAATTGTGCACATCCTGAAGAAGGTGATGTGTTTAATAGACCCTCATAAAGATAATTTCTTTCTCAGTTTTCAGGAGTTAAACCACCAAAAACAGCATTTCCCCTTGTGGGGACCAGGCCCAGTTCCCGGAACAGCGAGTCCCCACAACGCTGTTGTGCAGTATGTCAGGAAGATGGTCCCCACAAGGTATTATAAACAAACACACACACACACGTTTGTCTGGCTATCTTTGTGGGGACTTTCCATTGACTTCCATTCATTTCTACAGCCTAACCCTTACCTTTACCCTTTTCCTAACCCTAACCATCACATACCTAACCCTAACCCTAACCAAAACTCAATTCATACCTTAGTCCTAACTCTGACCCCTGACCCAAAAACAGGGTTTCCCCTCGTGGGGACCAGGCTCCGGTCCCCATGAGGAGCAATTGGTCCCCACAACGTAGTATATGTCAGGAAAATCGTCCCCACAAGGTATTACAAACAAACGCGCGTGCGCGCACACACACACACACACACACACACACACACACCGTTCCTATGGTAGCACTGCTGTTGACTCTGCTAATAGCCTCAACTTGGAATTTCTAATAAAAGACGCTGAGCGTTCCAGCAAAAACCCATTGAAGGTAGATAAACATCCCGTTCCTTTCCGAAATAACCAACCCCCAACTTATTGATGAGCCAGTGAGACCAACTGCAGCTCTATTAACAAAGACCCTGTGGTTAATTGCTCAGAGCTTTCACACATGCTGGCCTGAGAGCCCTGATAGCACCCAGCAGTATGTAGGTCAGAAAACGGTTTAGTTTGCTCTTTCAGAGACATATCATTTAGCAACGTCATGTAAGTATTTTAATTTAAGTCTTAATGAATGGTGCTGAAAGTAGGAAATGGGGCTGACAAACGTATCACAATGTAAGTGTCTCATCAGTCGATGTTGATAATTACTGACTAGTTTTTTGTTTTAAATATAAGGAGAACAGTCAAATGATGAAACCGTTCCTGTTTTAACTGCTTGTTGTTTCTTATTTTTAACTTTAAACTGCAGCTGTTGGCAGGTTGTTGCTAGGTAACCAAAGAGTGAGCGAGTTGCTAGGTAACCAAAGAGGAGTGAGTCAGTTGATCCCAGCTGGCCGTGAGAAGCGGCTAATGTATTTCCTCTGCCTAAATCTCCCAGAATGCAGTGCGGTTCTGCATCGCAGTTCAGTGAATTATTGAACATTTTATCAGATGTATTATCTATCGATATTATGTGTGTAATGTAATATATATTATTATTGAATTTATCTTCATTCATGGATGATACGAATGAATACAAACAGTAAAAATCTAACGTCACTCTCCTAATAAGCCTGATTAAAATGATTCACCAGTCCAGATGGACGTAAACGAAAAGCTAACCAATGAACTGACAGAGGGGAAATTAATGGGTGGGATTTTTCTCTAATCCAAATTAATTCATAGTTTAACCTTTAATCTGCTCCAGCAAGTCAAGATCATCCAACTATTTAACGAACCATGTGGTTACACTGCAGGTTTCTCAGAAACTATCAGCAATTATTACTACAATACGGCTCCTTTTCATACTACAGACTTGATATCGATCTCTGGTTTTCTTTGACCTGCTCATTTTGAGTTTGATCGTTTTAGATTTGTTTTCCCAATGTTTTTAAAACACAGAAAATGTTCCCTTAATTCTCTCACAAAAATAAAGATTATTTAATTATTCAAGATTATCTCCAACTATGCACCAAAAGCATGAGTTATGGAGTCAGAGGCAGCGCACAACCTGGATAGTTCACTTCTTAATCACCTTTATCTCAATATAGTCAAACTAAAATGCAAGAAAGTGAATTAAACGCAGATTTAAAATAAGAGAGAGAAACAAGATTATTAGATGAAACAAATAGTACCAATCAGAGCCAATTTGGCTGATACAAACATGTGTTTCTTTGTAGTTTGGGCCCTTTTATGCACACATTTATAAATATAACATATATGAATGTACATCCGGTTATGTTTACTGATAACCGATGATCTGAAATGTGGTTATGCAACTCATAAATAATATTTACCTGTAGGTGGTGGCTTAGAGTTATTTTGGGGGTTTAGTCAATTATATTCCATAAAATAACAAAAAAATAAATAAATGAATGGAAATCAGGTACAACACAAAGGTTTCAGAAAGAAATGCAATAAAAAATATTTTTCTGATTTGAGGTTTGTTTTTAAACAATTCATCTCAATAATTCATGAAGATCTCTAATAAATATATAAAACTGTTTAAGCCAAAAGTTGTTTACATGCATGAAATTGAAGAGGAAATAAACTGGATGCAAAGCTGCAAACTGAGTAGGAAGTTTGTTTATTCCACATGATGGTTTTTGAAAATCTTGACAGCTGGCACTAAAAAGTGTGTAATTAATCTGTTTTCATATCTGAAAATTATTATTTCTGAACTTATTTTAATAAACAGAGTCTGGAATTGGCCATTTTTATCCTAATCAGCAACGAGGAAACTGGTTAAATACTGAACTGTTCAGTAAAAGGATCAAACTAAAATCTCCCACCATGTTTCAGTCTATAAAACACATCAACATCTATTTAAATATACAATACTTTGGGGCTTAAAGAGCATCGCAGGTTATGGATTTATGTCTCGTCTTATTTCTCGCAATTAAAAACAATTATGAGCTCAAACGTGAAAGAAAACCAGAAATCGGTATAAACCGAAAGAAACCTGATTGGTGCATTTCTAATAATTAAATGCTGAAGCATTAATATGATTCCACTGTTATTAAAAATGTGAAAACTGAAGGAAAACAAGGTCAAAAGAGAACAATTTGTGAATAAATCCTTGGAAGCAGCAGAAGAAAGGAAAACAGAAGTGGCTGTTTTCACGCCGAGAGTCACCAGCCCAGCTGTCCCTCCACCCACTGGCCTCATTAATCATAATGTGTTATAGTGACATGACGCTGTTCAAGGGGAATCCACAGAGAACAACCAACCAGGAACGACTCGCAGCAAGGAAACCTTCTCCTTAAAAAACATCTGGGAACCATCATCAGCTTTGGATTCATGATTTCCATAAACACATCAATACAGCAGCGAAAATCACCTCTGCTCTCACTTTTCACTGCAAAAACATTAAATATCACCAAGTATTTTTGGTCTAGTTTCTAGTGCAAATATCCTAGTCTTAGAAATAAAACAAAACAAACTCATAAGTAACTTTATCCAGATGTAGGAGCTTGTTTTAATAGCTTCTTAATATTAATGAAAAGGTCCTAGATCCAATGGCAGATTACTTCACTTGTAACATGGGAAAATATATTTTCATGAAGTGAAATAATCTGCTGAAAGATTGTTGTTCTTTCAGCAACTGATCTTTTTTTAAATCTGTTTGCATCCAACTCAGTTAATCATTTCAGCTGCAGATGTTTGTTTTGACTGTAAAGACGAGAAAACATCCAAGAAACTTTTTTTGAGGAGAAACGGACATCTGCACCAATAAAATATATGATCAGCGTTGTTAACCCTGGAATCGAGTGCAGCCTACCAGTTTGAAGAGCTCGTCGTATCCCCAGTCAGCGAGGCCGCTGGGCGACGTGAAGCTGTTCTGACCCGCAGGAGGCGGCAGGTTCTTCTCCTCCTGCTCCTCCTTCACTGCTGAAGGCGAAGGCTCAGACTTTTGCTCCGCGGCAGACAGCAGAGACGTGGAATACGGCTGGAAGTGGGAAACATGTTGGAAACTCATTTTCCTCTCATCTTCCCCTTCTCCAGGCTCCAGCATCTCCCGCTGTTCTCCGTCCGAATCTTCGCTCTCCTGCTTCGGCTCCCTCTGGTTCGGGACGGTTTGGTGGATCGGTCCATCTGGTTCCCCACACAGCAGGGGGTCCGGCCTGGAGCCGCCGGGCCCTCGGGCCGCCGCGGCCTGATGGGCCAAGAGGAACTGAGCTTGAAGGAAATGTTTCTCCTGCAGGTTCATCTCCAGTTTGGCTCCTGGGTGCCTCTGCAGCTGCTCCATCACCGCCCCCAGCTTCACGCCTGCAGGAGCGGACTGCTGCAGACTCCCCTCCTCAGAGAGGTTCGACTGTGGACGAAAACAAACAAAAAACACTAAATTATCAGAAGCTTAGAGACCTGATGCACCAATCAGATGACTAAATGTCACAAGGTTTCCCCCAGAAAACGCCCAGAGGCAGTCCGTCATGTTTTTGAGTTAAAAAATGTTTAAAGTTGGCAGGAAATTTTAAAATATCACTTGATAATTATGTGTTATTAAAAGATTGGAAGATTAATACCTTAAGACCAACTATAAAGTCTTAAAAAAAACGCAGACATTTAAAAAAAATTAAATAAAAAAGCAATGCTTAGCCTGGTGGGGGCACAAGTAAAGCCTGGTGGCCCGCCAGGCTTACAATACACTGGGGGAAACCCTGTTTCAGAATCGGAAAGTTTTTTCCTTATTGGCTCTGACTGGTGATTGGAACAGGGCTTATTTGTGTGTTTGTTTTTTTAAGAATAATTAATACGGGCGCATTGATTGTTGATCTTTAAAAAGCCTGACCTTCCGATTCCAATTTTGACTGATTTTATCATCTGAAATGTTGCTGAACATAGCAAGGAAGCTGCTGAGCTGGTAACAGCGGGGTGACCATTGTAAACTGAAAACGTGCAGCCGGTCAGTCAAACGTCTCTAAACGCAGAAGGACGGCGGCTGATTTTTAGACCTTTGATGAGGTAAATGAGATCACCGGATAAGATCACATATAAGGAGAAGCCGATCTCCCAAAATAATTCACCCATAATAATTAATGAATTACACTGAGCTCATCATTTAATCCTTTCTGTTGATCTACCCCAAAAACTGTTATACAAAAACTCTTTTTGGTTACTTTGAACATAAACGCTGGAAAACAAAAAAAAAAACTACCAGCCCTCTGCACTGAACCCCATTAAAAACCTGCTGGTCATTCCACCAAATACTAATTCCAGAGTTAAAACATGAGTTTTGTTGTTTCTAAATGAATATGAAACCGTTTTCTTTGCATTATTTGAGCTCTGAAAGCTCTGCATATTTTTGTTATTTTGACCATTTCTCATTTTCTGCAAATAAATACGAAATTTTTGCTTGGAAATTCAGAGACATGTTGTCAGTAGTTCATAGAACAAAAGAACAATGTTCATTTTACTCAAACATATACAAAGTAGACACTGATCATTTAAAGTGGTCTCAATTTGTTCCAGAACTGCATATTATTCATATACAATTTCATTTTATTTAAAACATAACTTATTTGTACGTTACCAATCTTCCACTTTATTTAGCATTCTGACTGAATTTTGTCTTGTTTTTTTTTTATTGCTGTATGTTTTATTTTGCATGTTTTGCCTCAAACGTCTACACAATAACTCAAATATGCTACAATGAAAGTATTATATAAAATAAACGGAGATTTGTAATCCAGAGGAAAATCTTATTCTTCTCAAAACAGCAACACTTTGAGCTGGTTTTGATTTTACTTTGCAGGCTTTCAGCAACATTTATCATCCAATATGACGCCCAGAAATTAGATTTCATGAATTGAAACAAAAGTTTCAGCAAATGAGCTTGTGCTTGTTTTAGTTTTTATAATAAAATACAAATAAAAATGGACTAAATGCAACAAATCGATGCAATCTTTAGGGTTTCCTTATGTAGAAACTTTTCTTAATAAAAATTAATAGCACATACTGTAGTGTTTGATACCTAGAACCAAGTTGCATATGCATGATTAAATTCTAATTATTTTTTTTCTATAAAAAGCCTCGAGAAGTAAATAAAGTGAACCTTAAAATAAAATACAATTGGTATCGGTCCGGAAAATAATGATCGGTTCATTTCTAGAGGGTGAATGAACAGATAAAACTTTAAAACAACCATCAAAGTCATCGGGTGAGGGGAGGTTAACTGCAAATTTAAAGTGGATTTGAAGTTTTATAAGCTTACAAATAAAAACAGGCAGTCATTAATTTACATGAATTCATTCAGTCATCGGCATGACAAACGTCTCGCTTTGCTAAAAAGCGGCTAAATCATGAACCATCCTGCCCGGCGCCGTGTTTCTGTTACAAACAGCGCGTCTAATTTTCCCCCGCAAATTATCCCACATTTCAGAGACAACCTCATGGTAAACCTGCGCTCTGTAACGTCTTCACCAACCCACAGTGGCTTTGTTACTGTAACAAACACGAGTGGGAGCGTCGACACTCACCATTTGCGCCCTGGAGTAATTCATCGTCGCCAACAGGTTTGTTTTGTTTTCCTCGGTTCCTCCGGGCAGAATTAAGTCACATCTCCTCAGCAGCGCTGTCCTTTAGGAACGCGTTTTCTTGGTTTTTGTTTTGCTCTTTTGGACCGGGGTGACTTTAAAAGCCTGGGTCGGTGTGGGAGGCCGGAGCGGTCGGAGCTGGAGGAGGGGTAAATAACGCGCAGTGTTACCTCCCTGGTCACTGCGCATGGAAACTCAAACATCTTTGATTGTCTCTGACTAGGTGACCCCCTCACCCACAGCCCGGGTGAATGAAAGGCCCGCCCTGTGCGTAAAAAATACTCAAGTGTTTTTGTTTTTTTCCTCTTCCTTTCCTCTCCTTGGAGGAGCGATGAGAAACTTCCCACCCTCTCCACGAGAAAACTCCCACTCGATCCTCTGATTATCATTCAGTCAGATTTTAACTGCAGAGACCTGCAGTTAAAGAAAACAGAACTGATTTTTTAAAACAAAAAGGTGAAAATACGTGAAATTTAAATCTAAACTAATCTGTTTTCTCCTGTTGTAACTAAACACCCCGCGGTTTCAGCCAATCAAGCACCGCATTGTTTACGTAACGTTTGCGGGCATTTCGGTTTGATTTGGGGGGATAAACCAAATATATATTGCATTTTTTTTTTTAATATAATAAATATTTTTTAAAATGCAGAGCCACCTTTTGGTCTACTCATAGAGTCTGCAACTAATAATGGGTGAAATCAGAGTTGAGTAATTAATTACATTTACTCGATGTAATTTAGTGGAGTAACCTTTTGGAAAAATTTACTTTAAGGAGTATTTTTATCACGCCTGTACTTTTTTCTTTTACATGAGTATAATTTCTGTATGTTTTGGATGAAAAACAAACATGTTTTAACCAAAAATTCAGACAAAAACACACCTGCAGTTTTAAAGTTTCATAAGTTTTATATTGAGAGAAAATGTTTTATTTTGCCTGATTGTTATTTGAATTATTATTTTCATCCTTAAAATTCCAGAAATTTCACTTAACTTTATATTTTAACCCGTCTGATGACGCAATTTTTTAAATATTCAATGATTGATAAATTGATCAGTTACTCAGTACTTGATACTTTTTGGCAAATACTTCTTTTACTTTTACTTTAGTCATTTTTTGCATGGCTACTTTTCACTTTTACTTGAGTAAAAATATGCTGAAGTAGTGATAACCTTGAGTACAATTTTTGAGTACTCTGGGTAAAATGTTAAATTGAAAGCAGAGAATCTGTGAGTTTAACAAAAAGGGCATGCATCACCACAGCATAATGCTGCCACCACCATATTTCACATTTGCCATCTCTGAATATGACAGAAATTTTTTTCTGATTTTATTCTTGCCAGATTTTATCAGGTTCTCCTACCTGAGTTGTTGACCCCTGCAGCTCCTCCAGAGTCGCCGGCAGAGCCTTGGGAACGACTCTGCTCAGCTCAGGCCTTCTCTGGGCCGCAACTTTAGGACGGCTGTGTCTTGGTAGGCTCTTCGATGTGCCAAACCTTTTCCATTTCCTCACGGCGGACTGGACGGGGCCCCGGGAGATCATCAGATCTGGATTTTACAACCAAACCCGGCTTCAAACTTTTCCACGATTTCATCTCTGACCTGCCTGCTTTGTTCCTCTGTCTTCATGATGTTTGTTCTCACAGAAAAACCAACTATTACACACAGTTGGGCCTAATTTACCAATAAACTGACTTATAAGGGGAGCTGAATACTTACAACACTTTTCTAATTTGCATTTGGAGACTTTTAGAAATGATACACTTCACAATTTGGCACCACTTTAAGTTAATCTGAGATGATATTTGAGAAAAAGCTCAGCAGGTATGAATATTTTCCACAGGGCACTGAAAGAATGAACCAGAACTTTACTTGAAGTGCTTCTATTCTTACTCAAAGTGATAACCCTGCGGGTGGTAATTTGTGGCTATAGTTGCCCCGCCCCGTCCTAAATAAAGCCCATGGCAGAGGCAGTTGACGTGACCTGATTGATTACAGGATATGAACATAACTCTGCAGCCGTCCAGCAGGCCTTTCATGGATGTGAAGGAAACTACAAGCAATAAATGCAAAAGGAAACAAAAAGAGAGGGAAAAATGAACAAAAATCAAATTTTGTTGGTTTTCAAGAATAATTTCTACACCAATCTGCACATTTGAGTTTAAAATATTTACATTTCTGCAAATCTTGTTGGTTTAATATTCGACTCAGGCATCCTGAACAACTGTAATCAGATCTAATGGAACCACTGAAAATGGTCACATCTATTCATTTATCATACACCAAATAAATATATACATATTTAAAAGTTATTTTTTGTAAAAAAAAATAAAATAAAAAAAATCTTAAAGGCTAGATTTCAGAAAACTAGAAAAACTGTCAATATCTGTACTTTTTAAAAACTTTTATAGGACTATTATATTTGAAGTTTAGATGGGTTCTAATTACATTTTTGTACATGAATATAAATATAAATAACTAAACTAAATATAAATATATATTTAGTTCAGTATGTTTATATAATGTTTATAAATGTAAATATATTTGGCAAATAAATATCCTCCAAATATTTAATAATGAATAAAATCTGGAAGCCATATTTCACTCTTATAAATAAAAAAAAATCCATACTTTAACTGATATAATAATAATAAAATTCCAAATAGTAACCACATTACACCAATGCCATCGCTGATTAATTTTATTCAACCCGCAAATAAATTTTCCCTGAAATGAACAGATGTAATCTTTACATTCATGCGACTCTGCTGCCCCCTGGTGGTTCACAAGCATTCAGGTGGTGTGAATCATTTGGTAATGCTTTGATCTAGAGCAACTTGTACTTAAGTATTGCTAAACAGATTGTTGAACTTTCACAAAACAAAAAGATAAAATTCCAGTATGTTTACGACACGCGAAGACAGTATATTTATCCATATTTTACAAACAAAAGAAACCAGTAAAGGCAAAATTTAATTCAGACATGTTTTGATGAGGCCAACATTTTAAATGCAAGAGCTCGATCTTCTTGTACATCATCTGTGGAAAAAAAAGAAAGGTTATTTAGAAGAGGTGAAATGCTTGATTTAATTTAAAATGAATAAACTTACATTTTATCAAGTCCAAGCTCTTCAGGTGTAGAAATGCCGAGTTCGCTTAATACGGGCTTGAGCTCCTGGATCACGTACGGGTAGATATCTTTGTGAGGCCCGGCCTTGTCCTGGGTCAAAGTTAAACTCCGTTAGTTTACCACTGAAATCTTCATTTATTTTCGGCTGACATTATTCCCAGACGTTCTGAATGTCTGACCTTCACCGCCTCCAGGATGCGGATGGCGCTGGCCAGGTCGTTTAGTCTGCGGCAGGCTCTCAGCACCGCCTCAAGGATCTTTGGTTCTGGTACCAGGTCGTACCCGATCAACGTGTTCATCCCTGAAACACAGTTTACACTTTACGAGCTGCAGGAAACACAGAACCACCTATTATATTCTCAGACCCATGCCAATTTTCCACTTCTTTTGACTTCCTGTAAACTAAACTTTTGATCTCATGGATCTGAAACCTGCAGCTCTGATTCGTGGTTCTAAATATAAATATAATAACTGGAACTTTTGCAATTTTACAGTTTTTCTCTGAATAATTTAATTGAATTTCCACAACAGAATGACACCGGCAACATTTTTATATCTAATGTTGTCATTAGGTTGAAAAATATTTGCTTTTTCTTTTTCCAATATCAATTACATCCATCACTTTTTGCTAAAACAAAAAAAAGTATTTTTTTCTTCTGTATTTTAAAACCTAAAAATAGAAAGAAAAATAGTGGTCCTTTCAAAATAAATCTTCCATAGTAGGTATATGTCAAAAGTATATTTTCAGAAAAGTCTGTAGATAAAAGCGATGAAAAGCTTTGAAGCTGCAGTACGTAACTTTTAAAAAATTTTTTGTTTAAATATTTGTTGAAATTAAATTGTCACTATTTTGTCACACTATGCTACAAAGGTAAATGTAATTTTATTTATACAGCACATTTTCAACAACAAGGCAATGCAAAATGCTTTACAGGAATTAAAAGGACAAAAACAAACAAAATAACAAACCAAAGGAAAGAAAAAAGAAAAATAATCTAATGTTGATCTAAAGTATAAACTAGATGCTCCTGTTCAGGGTTGCTACGTATCTAACAATGTTGATCCAAAAGTGTCTTCTGGTCTCTGCATCTAAATACTGATGCAATACAAGACAGATAATCTGCAAAAGAAATTAGCTCCTCTGCCTGAGCCCAACTAGAAACAACCAATCAGAACCAGGAGGCGGGTCTATTGCCTCTCAAAAAACATGCTAGGCTAAGATGAAGTAAATATAAAGTAAAGATAAAGTAACTATGTGAAGCTGGTAGAGAAACTTACCCACAAAATAAGCCAAAACTGGAAAACATACAAAATGACTAACATCAAACATTTATTTAATTCATTTTAAACATATTTTCATTAAAGGAACATTGTTAGAAATATATATTTTTGTCTATTAGCTGACTCAGAGCTCTGGCTACAAAAACAAACCATTAAAAATACAACAAATCACAGATTAATCCCAATAACTGATCTACACGAGTCAATAATGCTAACATAAAACTTTAACACTGATTTGTTTGCTCTAAGAAAAAAAATCATGTAGTTTAAAGCAAGTAGAAATGTTTTGACAAAATGGTAGCAGAACCATATTTGGAAACATTTTAAACAGACTAAACAAAACTGATCATCTAATGTAGCATTTCCTGACTTCTCACCGGATGACAAGCATTGTCGTCTAACAACTACTTCTTCCTGGTATTAAGAACCTGCGTTTCAACATGTATTGGATCAGTTGCAAACAAAACAAGGAGGATTATATTTCAGAGCATTCACTATTATCTAGAGCAGTTTCTGTTGCGATAACAGCAGCCAAAAAAATAAAGCTAAAATGCAGAGAAAGGTGCCATTTTTTCTAAAAATGTATCAAAAACTCCAGTAAACTAACAGTTAACTTTCACTTCTGTCTCCAACTTAGAGTAAAAACCTTAAATCACATCTTTACGGCAAAGGGTTAAAAAAATCTCCAGATGCGGAAAAGCTCCTTTTATGGAAACACAAACTTGTATTTTACACCTCAGCCCCGTTACTGGAGGCACCAGAGAGGACAGTTTGTTGCCAAGTGGAGCCTAAGAGAATCTAACTAAATTGTGAAAGTGGCCTGAAACACCTGTTAGAAACAGAGACCTGCCAGTCTGGTTGGCTAAAAGGAAACTGTAAAAACAAAAAAAAAAACAAATACAAAAGAAAAAAGTTTGTTTTAACAACATTGTGTACATTAAAGCAGATGGAAACAGTTAAAGAAAATTGCATCTCGCTGTGCAATAAAAATTCCTCAACTCGCAAGTTTCGACTCCAACTACAGCAAACTTAAACAACTGATCTTTACGTTTCCAGGAATCAGTAAAGTTCCTTAAAAAAAAAAACTTTTTCCAGTTACTTTTTGGTGTTCATTACATTTATTCTACTTCTAGTCAGTGAGCGATAGAAAGTAAGGTAAGATCTTTAAAGGAAGTAAAAAAAAAATGAATGCAAACGAGAGAAGATCTGAAAAGCTTTATTTAACTGATTATATACATTAACAGAAAGATTACCACTGCATGTTTATTAGATCAGTTGGACATTTATCATATTTAATTGTAGATTTTTCCTGGAATTACACATGCAGATTATAAATAGGCTATATGAAAAGACCTACTGCAGATCTACAATCATAAGGAACAAACATCTAATCTAAAATCATTTTGAGTACAAAATGACTTAAAACGCAGAACAACAACATACTGAGCACTCCTCAACAGTACCATCTCAAAACTAAGACAGTTAGGAGAGCAAAGCACCATCCAGCTATATAAAATAACAAGTTCCTATTCTAAAAGCGTGTCTGCGCTCCACAGCACTGCTGATGAAAAAACTTTTAACTGCGGTTAATTCTAAAAACGGTTCTGCAAGACAATCCAAACTAATCTTTACTAACCTAAGTAATGCAGTCTGAAAATTAAAGATGATCCGTATGGCCTGGATGTTGTGATGAGGAATTAATCCAGACTGAGTCCATTTAGATGCAGAGACCAGAGGCCCAGAAGACACTTTTGGATCAACATTGTTAGACTATTTTTCAGAATCCTGTTCTCCCAACCCAGAAGTGGAATTAGACCTGAGGGAACATAGCAACCCTGAACAGGAGAACCTAGTTAACATACTTTAGATCTTTTTCTTCTTTTGCTCTGTCATTTTGTTGGCATTTCCTTTTAATTCCTGTAAAGCACTTTGTATTGCCTTGTTGCTGAAGATGTGCTATGTAAATAAAATTATCTTTACCTTTTAATATTAGTCTGAGAAAACCCCTGTTGATCTGCAGTTAATATTAACCGACCTTGTAGAAACAACTTCCTCATACCAAAGTTTAATATTTTTCTGCACAATTATTTGTGTCGTCTTGCACAGATTTAGTGTGATTAAAAACCCACCTTTCCTCAACTCCCATGCATCGATGTCAGGCTTGTTGAAGTATGTAATCCAGCGGGCGTCAAACTCTTCATCTGTCTCCTGTTTCCCGTGGGAGTAACACCTCGATGCCAGAGGAGCTGTGGGATAAAAACAAGCAACAATCAATGCCTTAAAGTCATTTTCAGTGGTGTTCAGTGTTGCACAACGTTGTCACACGGAGGATCATAAGAGGGAAAGTTTGCAGCGAGTGAAGGAGAAAAAGGGCAAATGCTGCGTGTCAGGTGGATTACTTCCATTGTCCGGATATAGGACTGCACGTAGCTGATGATACACTTACGCATTAGATACGTAAGATCTACTGTAAATCAAATGGATATCCTGCAGATCATTCTGACCTAAAATAAGTGAATTAGATCAGCTGTAACATCACGTAAGCATCAGGATGATGTGGTTTTCTCAGGCGCTGAAGACGCTGCCAGCCCATTTTAGTGCAGAGATGTTCGCAGCTGGTTCACTCAGCAGATGAACTAACACAGTTAGCATGTTAGCATGTCCCAGCTGGGTCACGGCAAGGACACAACTACCCCAGAGCGAAACATTTGGATAATATCACAACACAGCAGCCTCAGATTATGTATTTTTACGTTTTTTATGTTGCCCAATTGACCAACATGTTAAAAACCTTAACCAAACTGAATGTATTATCAAGTGGCCGGCTGGTTAGCTAGCTTAGCTGGGACCGCAGTGTGCCGACAGACACTGGATATCCGCATGAACTTCGCCCCTACGGTTTCACACTCTGCCGCATTTAAACAGCCATTTCTAGGAGAGAAACAATAAACAAATACCTTGGCACCTCGGTTGTGTTCGAGTTAAACTCCGAGCACCGGAGACCGACAGTCGGACGGCAGCTCTGAACATGATGCGGCACAGCCAGCGAGACAAACCGGTATGATTTATCCAGAGGAAGCGGCTCTAACGGCAGGCGCCAGCAAATAGGTGAGATCCTTCTGCGCATGTGCAAAGCGCAGCTCATTCTTGACCTGTTTTGGTCTGCCACGAGTGACATGAAATGCCACGCAAAAAGGTTAAACATGTTTCTACAAATACCTCACACAAAAAATCATAACTGATAATGATAAATTATATATATAAAGATATATAAATATGCATATAATCAGATGTGAATAGAGTAGTAAAAGTTGTACTCGAATAAGAGTATCACCACTTCAACATATTTTCATTTAAGTAAAAGTAACAAGTATTAGAAGTGCAAGAATTTACTCAAGAAAGAGTGAAAACATTTTCTGTAAAAGACTACTTAAGTAATGAGTAACCAAACATAACCATGGACGCCGTTTCCGCCACTCTGATGGTAAAAAACCCAACAAAACTTGTATCTGATAATTATGACTGAACTACCATATAATTATGAGATACCATCTTATAATTTTATCTTAGCTATCTCATAATAATGGAATTTCATTATTGTGCTACCTGATAATGACTTAGGTGCAAATCTTTATAGGTTAGACATCATAACTAAGCAAGTTTTGTTTTTTTCCCCCATCAAACTGTCAGAAATAAGCTTCCAATCAAAACATCTCAGTTCAGTTTCTTTTTTATTAAAAAAAAAAAACAACGCATATAAATGAACATAAGTCAAGTGGCTCATTTCTGCCTTTATTCCCATTGGCATGTTCATCTTAAACCACTGATTATAAAAACAAGGATGAAAACCACACATATAACTCTAAACAAGAGATATAAGCGGCCATAAAATCCACACATATTTGATCAATGTTGACATTTCTGACTTTGCAAGAGGCAGGTTTTAAGAAATGATTTAATATTTTACAATGGCATCATCAGACAGCCGAAAATGTAGTTAAAGACTGAAATGAAAAAGAAAATGCATAAAAATAACAATTTCAAAGTAGCACATTTAAAGCAGAAGAAATAATTATCCAAATCATTCTTTTTCTAAATAAAATTTATGAAGCTAATTACAGTATGGATAATGTACATATATATATATATCCTTGTCTTTTGTACAAACAAGGAAACTAACTAATAAACTAAAAAAGTTTTATTTACTCTACATAAGAAGGTATAGTAGTGCCCAAATGTCTTTTTGGAGCAGATTGTATAGGTTACTTATATAAATGTTTCTCCCTAAATAAAACAACAACAGTTTTTTTTATTACAACAACAAAAAAGGAATCTGATGAATATGAATCTTGAAACTGAAATTATAAATCAATTCAATTTAGTTTTATTTATTTAATGCCAATTCACAACAAATGTTTGTAGGCACTTAACAGAAATGTAATCTCAATTCAATTATATATACATTCCAATTGATGTTAGCCATCAAACACTACAGAAAGCTCAACTAATTATTCAAAGTAGTTTAAAAAGTCAACACTGTAATTGAGTTGACTTTTGAATATATCTTGCTACTCTTTTTTACTTGACGCTTTTTATTTACTTCACTTAATTTTAGTTTGATAAGTCGGTCAAACTAAAATAACTGATATAAAAACATTTATATTTAATATGTTTTTCAGCCATATTGTCCAGCCCCATAGCAGTGTCTAATAACTGGGAGTGCACCGATCGCAGTTTTCTGGCCGATCGCTGATTTCCAATCTTTAAAAAGCCTGATCTGCCAATTCTGATTTTGTCTGATGCCATCTTTTTTGTCTGAAATGTCGCTAAATGCAGTGAGAAACTGGTGGAGTTGGTAACAGTGGAGTGACTATTGTTGACTGCAAACTTGCAGACATGACCTGCTGGGTCAGAGGTCAAACCTCTGTCACAGCAGACCAGAAAAGGACAGGAAACCTGGTCGATAAGATCGGCTTCACATGTAAGTATCGGCCGATCACCGATCTCCCAAAATTAAAGAAATCAGTGCACCGCTATAAATTGCTTCACCAAAAGCACGAATACTTTTTTCAGCCAAATATTACTACGAAGAAGGAACATGTAATTGCACATTTGCTGGCTTTTTAGCTAAACTTTATAGGTTTTAGGAGGACATCTGGTCCAATCATCCAGACTGAGCCTCTTGGCAGTGTGCAGTGAGTTTGGCCTGCCAGCTGTTCTTCGCAGATCCCCGCGTCTCTCCTCTTCCTCTGTGGGAACGCTGAAGGTTTGTGGAGGCTGGTAGCCCAGCTCCTGGGGATCCAGCGGGTCTTTGGAGAGCAGGATGCAGATGGCCGGCACCGTCCTCTCCACGGTGGTGGTCGCTGCTTCCTGCGGTGCGCTCTCCCAAACCTCATTAACCGTCATGTAGCAAAGTTTGGACACCTGATGCAGCCCTGCCACTTTGCGTTTCAGGATTTCCACGCAGGTGATGGTCTTGGTGATGCCCCGGCCCAGGCCTGTGAAGACCACCTGTCTCACTGCCGCTGCACTGCCGTCCTGTCCTTCCCCCTGCATGCGGGCAGCTGCAAACCGCAGTAAATTGCGAATTTTGCTTCCTTCTTTCACTCGCATGTGCAGGACGTCTGCAGCAAGGCCAGGAATGGGAAAAGGGGCTCTCTCCTCGGAGCGTCCGATTCTCCGCCGGGCGCTCCGCTCCGGTTGTGGAGGACAAGACGCAAACTGGTCACCAGAAGACAGTGAAGAAGACTGATGCTCCATTATGGTGGAAACTAAATAAGATGATTCTTCTGCGTCTGCAGGCTTGTTAATCCATTTCCCTCGAGGTCTAAAAGCAGCAAACTTAAAGAAAATCTGCTTTGCAATCCAAACTTTCCACTTGTCTTCATCTTCTCTCGGTCGCCTGTCCGATTTGTTTTGTCTTCTTGGAGCTGAGATGACAGCCTGCAGAGTAAGAAAGCCACTTCTTCTCCTAATCCCAGTCGTGAAAGAAAAGATGTCCTTGCTCTCTTCAGCTCTGAGGACAGCTGATGCCAACAAACACATGAGGCTTAGAGAAAGACATGAAGAGTGGGACATAGAGCTCTTAAAGGCACATGCTCATTTTTCATCCTCTAACAAAGTCTCATACATTCATTGCAGTTTTTTTATTTTAATAATTTTGTGAAATACTTTAGGACTCAGAGATTTTTCTTGTCTTTAGTTGTTTGAGAAACACGGATGATTGAATGTGAGTTAATGAGATTTAACAAAGCGTGTAGTTGAAACAATTCTTTTGTTTTTTACAGATTTGGACTTGATAGTTTCATCTAACGTTCTTACGCTGCAGTTTTGCTGATAATGAACTACAGGAATAAAAAGAGAGGATAAAAAACACTGCGGTACAACAGGGCTGGCTGTTTTGAAGATAAATTTCCTCCTCTCTATCTTTAGAGGCCCATATGGTCCAGGAAAAATGTCTTCCTTTGGGCTACAGCAGCAACTTCACAGCTCTCCACTCTTCAATTCATCGCCTGCTGGGGTGACCCAGAAAATACTTTCCACACCACCTCTTTTTCCCCCAGTGACTGACATGAGGACAATCACACCTTTAAGCTACTGCAATTTATTTTGATATCTACACAAAACTGGAAAAAAGTAATAATCCAAATGAAAATGAAGGACTTTCTGAGACACAAATGACCAGCTGAGGGGTTTATCTGAGATTTAGTGCCAATGTATGTTATATTTAATGGAAGTAAAAATGTTAACAGACAATAAAACATTTTTTTAGTCAACTACTGACAATGTAAGTTCCTTGACGTGAATTGAATGTCATTATATAACAGCTTTTCAATTAACAATATTGTCAAAATGTGTTTATTTATTCGTTAAATTGTTTTTATGTAATTTTCTCAAAGCTGTTTTAGTGATGTAAATCATGTGACATGTAAGAACAGCAGCAGCTAAATGTGGATCCTAAATAAACTAAACTAGACTAAACCTCATGTCATTAAATCTCAAACAAGAATGAAGAATGAGAGATATATATACAGATTTGATGGTTTGGTTTATATGATCAGGCCTTTTACAACAATGACCAAGCAAGTGGACTTTTAGGTGAAAGAACAACAGCTTTAATAAACAGCAAAAAATAGAATCTGCCAAACATAATAATGAAATACTGTAAAAATATATTTGAAAATATAAAATATTTGCCGTTTACTGCTTAAATCCTAAAGTTATTCCGGTTTCCAGTAAATGTGTGTAGGTTCACCAGCAGGCGTGTGAACTCAGGCTTTCTCAGCTTGGCTCTGAACCAGTTGCTTGTAAAATTTCCCTCTGGATTTGTGCATCTTGCGTATTGATGTGCACGTCTCCCACCTGACCGTTTTCATACCTGTTCCAACAAAAAGCAAACCGTGGTGGAATATTAATCGGTTTTTATTGAGCAGGGAGGCAGAAATAAACACTGCTGGGTGTTTTACTCACACAAAGAGGAAGCGTGTACACACATGGTCGGACACCGGACAAACCCAAATGTTTCCGTGCTTCTGAAGAGCCTTTGAGGTTATCACTGCGACACACGGACAACTCTGTTAGATCAGACGTAAAACTACAGTGGTGGAGAAAGTACAGACAAAAATCTAGTAAAAGTGCCACACTAACATTTATATCTGAATAAAAGTTTTTGCTTGCTTTTAAAAATACTTAAACTATTGAAAGTAAAAGTTTAATATATTCCTTAATGTAATGGTCAACATATAAGTGTGACTACTGTGTGTTTATTTTCTTTACTACATCAATAATGTGCTATTTTAATGAACAATGGAGCAGATAGTCCATGTTTTTATTGTGTTTCATCAACTCCAGTGATTCAACCTTGCAGTTGATCAACAGTGAACAATATTTAAATTTTAGACACCATTTTCAAAACTCTTACCCAAAAATAATTTTTTAAACCATTTAACTTGAATAAGTCATTGATTACTTTCAAACTAATAAACAAATAGTAAAAAAAACAACTCAATGTGACCGTGAGGTGAATGTAACATATTTTAGAAATGTAGTGGAGTAGAAAGTACAGATACATAATGTAAAATGTGCCCAGGATTTAAATCTGCTTACAGTTAAAACCAGATATTTAAGTACATTTTTCTCACTGCCTGAAGTTAAATCTGATCAAACTGAACTTGTTTTACCTTAGTTACAATAATCAGAATTATTTCTATTAGCTAAATGCCAGAAAACTTGTCAAGAACATTTTCTAGATTTGTTTTGTTGTAATTTTCTAATTTGAGGAAAGTTACAAATAAAAAAAAAGTTTTCTGCCATTTAGC